TTTCTACTTGCTCGCCTTGGTTCTATTTTACTCCGCATACGGAATTACGGAGTATAGGCCGTATCAAATTTCCCTCCTTCCTCATCTCAAACCCGGAACTGCCATAGCTCACCACCGCATTCTCAACCGTCGGCCGTCTGAAGAAACGGTTTCATTTTATCGTCATCGTCCATCCAAAACGTTGCGATTTCCCCCCTCCTCTTTTTTTTTTTGTTTTATTAATATTTTGATTTTGATTATCGACTAAACTCAGCTTCCGTCCCTTACATACTATGCTCGTTATTCCAAATCTCCCAATAAACCTCACTTCCTATGATTTTTAATAATTCTCAATTAAATCAGCTCTAATCGTTTTTGGATTACCATATTAGTTCTAGAAAATTTGACTGCTTATACGTTTTGGCTAAAAACCCTCAATTTTTCAAAAACCCCAAATATTCAATCTTCTCAAGATTCAGCCTTGATGTTAATTTATCCTGGATTTGCGGCGTGAATTCTGGTTCTTGGTAACTACGGATCACCTGGCTTCATTGAAGCCGGGAAACGCAGAAAGTTGAGTGGTCTTATGAGTTTTTGCGGGAGATGGTAAGTAATCAGGAGGATGGGCAGAAAGACCCATCGAGAGGTGGAGGTGGGGCTAGCCGGTCTTGGGGTACTGCCGCTTCAGGTCAATCTGTATCAACTAGCGGAAGCATTGGGTCACCTTCAAGCAGGAGTGAGGCTGCCATGGCCACTCCCGCAAATGGAAAAACTTTGTCTCTACTAACTACCATTGATATCCATGCCGATGATGCTGGATCCCGATCCGTTTCTGGGTCAGTTCGTTGGGCCTTCTTCTGTTTAGTTTTTGTGATTGGAAATTTTTGACTGCTGAATTTATATGCTGGTGAAGTTATCACATATTTTCCATGATCCATGTATTCCTGTATTAGATGTTTCAGGCCATAGATGGATTTGTATTTACTCATTCTTATATGGAGTATAAGATGTTTTTCCATGACACTCACTATGTTTGGTTCAAGGAATTTGAAAGGGAAAAGAAAAGAAAATGAGATTCAAAACATTTTTTCTTGTTTGGTTAGAGAGGAAAATAAAAGAAAAGTAGAAGGAACAGAAAATGAGAAGGCAAAATGAAATAAGAATAGGGAAAACAAAATTCTTCCTATTTTGGAAAAAAAAGAGAGAAAACTATTTTCTTTTCATTTGCTTATTGATGTCTTGAAGCAAACATAGTGTCATGGGATTTGTATTCAGCTTTCAAGCATGGAGTCATTTTTAGTGTATGGTGCTTTCTGATTGAATAACTAATGTGCCAAACATGATTGGATTCATTGTGTTAAACATGAAGGGTCAATTGTTTCTTAAAATGAATCTACTTGTCTTCTCTGTGTTTCATATTTCCTCTGTTTTGACTGTGTATGATTGTATGAAACTCTTTGGCTTTAATAGGAAGAAGAAAAGAGGTCAACGGGCAGTATCAGGGGATAAATCTGGCAGAGGACTGCGGCAGTTTAGCATGAAAGGTATGTCATTATTTTTCTCTCACAGGGTTGTAATAATTTCAGTTAATTATCACGTGTTATGATCTCTTGTTGGGTTTTTTATCAAGCGTTGTGTATGCATCTTTGAATCTTTCTTTAAATAGAGACTTTATGGTGATTAATGTTGCCTACTTTTTTCAGTGTGCGAGAAGGTGGAAAGCAAGGGACGGACCACATATAATGAAGTATGTTGATTTAATAGTGTATTTATACTATTCCCATACTCCCTCCGTCCCAAATTAAACTTCCCATTTATTTAATCATAGAGTTTAAGAAAAAATGAAATTGTGTGGTTGAGATTTATGCAGAGGAGAGGAGAGATGAATAGAGTGAACCATCCATTACTTTGAAAGGAATGGAATGTTTTTTTGGGACGAACAAAAAAAGAAAGTGAAAACTTAATTTTGGGACGGAGGGAGCATTATTTTGCATTTCCCAGGCCTATGGTTTGTTCGGGACCTGGAAAATACCAGGGTAAGAAAGTAAGTAGGTTCAAACTATTCCTTCTTATGAAGGGTGCGTCAAGAAGTTCAACAACAACAACCCAAAAGAATCCCTCAAAAGTAGGGTTTGGGGAGGGTGTGTTTTTGCAGACCTTACTCCCACTTGAAAGTAGAGAGAATGTTTCCAAGAGAACCCCAGCTCGAGCAATACAGAAAGCATATAGCACGATAAAAAAACAAGTCTACCCATCAAGGGAAACAACAACAAACTCAGTGTAGTCCCACAAGTGTGGTCTGGGGAAAGTAGGATGTACACATATGTCTACCCATCAAGAGTTGAGAGGTTGTTTCCAATAGACACTCGGATCAAAATTGAAGAAAGAAAAAACATTCTTTGTATAAACTCTCAAAACTTTAAAAATATTCTGTATAACAAAACAAATATTGACCTGAAATGTGAAACTAAGATCTGCAGGAGTTTCAAGCACATCTTCGAAAGTAATTGGGCTAATAGAAGATTTTAGAGTAGTGTTTTAAATTTGGAATTTAGATGATCTAAAAGTTATTAATAATAAAAATAAGACACAATCCTTGTTTGAAAATATTTGATAAGGTTGGATGTTTAAACATTGGGGATCAGTGAGATATACCTGATGTTTTATGTATATGGAAGAATGGCAAGTTGTATGTCAATTAGAAAGGATGATAGATTGCTAGAGTAGTAGTAAAAGAAATCCAGAATAAGGGAAAGGCATAAACTTATAGTGTTATTAAATTTTAAGCAATTGCTCCGCACTTGGTATTTTATATTTAATGCCAACGACCAACTAGTTGGGACTAAGGTGCTTATGATGAATATTGATGATGATGATATTTGTTCAAGATCATTTCATTTATTCGGTCATATAAACACTTACGGATCTAAAATATTTACACTGTTAACAACGTGAATCATATTTCATTTTCTATTGCACATTCCATCTAACGCAAAGCATAAGAAAACATATTTCTTCAATGTTCGTTCTCCTTTCCCTAGCATTTTCTAGGATTCAGATATACCAACCAAAAATGCCTGGTGTATCCCACTCAAAACTAGGGTCTGAGTCAAGATGTTCTCAGACTTTACCTTTACTCTTGGGAGTAGAGAGGTTGTTTTTCGAGAGAGCCTCTGACAAACCATGACAAAGGATGACAATATATGCATAATGTATGAATATGGTTGACGTTTTCATGTGCTATGTGCAATGATTCTCACATTTTGCTCATATGGTGTTTTTCATGAACAAAAGCTGCCAAGTAGGCTATGTATTTCTAGGAGAGTTTAAGTATCTTTATATTTTATCCGGAGTATTTCATAAATATTTCTGGGTGTATCGTTAATTTTGTATCAAAATTTTCTCTATATATCACTAGTTACAAATTTTACTCACAATACATTTTCAACATGATGATGGGCATTTGAAGCTTTGAGATATCAGATTTGTTGGAGGGGGTGG